ACCTTTGTGCAGTCTGTACGTGACAGACCTGGCTTCGCCTTGAATGAATATATGTAGTGGTGTTAGGTTTAGCATGACTTCTATAGCTGCTGTTGGAGTCGTTCTCATAGCTCCCGTTGTACTCGATCTAGGTCCAATTGAAACCAACAGATTTGAACACAATAACAACGATAATATAGAATTATTCAACAGATTGTTAAGGGGGGGCAGCGAAGAGAAGAATTTCTTTAGGTGTTATTTTCATTTTGTTATCTCCTTTTTTATGTACCGGCGTAATAACCGCTATTTTAAATTCTTGAGGTACTGTACTTGTAATAAAAATTCTATTTATGATATTACTTATAGGTTTTGATATTATATCTGAGGTTTTTCTAAGTACTTCTGATTTTATATTATCATATCCTGGAGATTTTTTAAGTTTTAGTGATTTAATTATTGTTATTATTTCTTTTTCATTCACAGGTAATAAAAATAATGAATTTTGATTTTTTTTCTCTAAGTGGTGGTGATGTATTAGGCTTTTTAATTTGTTTTTCATATGATTTACCAACATTAATAAAAACTCATTAAAAGCTTCTGTAATGCTCGCGGGGATATTACAGATTACATTGTTTGTGATTATTTCTATGGGATCATTTCTTTCTATCATTTACACAAATGTTTTTGACTACATTCCATAGATTTTTTGGAGTATTTCTGTTTTTATTTATTTGGTTTTTATAGTAATTGTATTTAGCTTTTTTTTATTAATTTGTCTAAGTAATTTTTATAGGTGTGGTATGTTATTTTTTTATATTCGCTTTCAGGATCATTTTTAAATTCGCTGTATAGTCTGTTTTTTTCATTAACGGAGTTTACAATGCTAGCACTAATCCACTAAGTACGTTTAATATTACACCTTTTTGATTTTTTATATATGTATTTTGTTTAATTAAAGATTTTAATAGACCAATGACATTTTTTCATTTCATTATAAAAGTTATCCCAATTATAACTGTTCAGATCATTCCTTAAGTTATCATAGTTTATGTATTGGGTATTTCTGATTGTATTATTAGGTGACTCTATTTTTGTATCCATCGGTATTCCTAGTATTGTTGCTTTATGATCAGTAATATGGTTTTCAAATACCATGGAAACGCATTTCAGCTCAAAGTTAGGAATTTTACTGTTTAGGAAAATATGATCTAGACAGTTTCCTGTCGCGCCATCTTGTGTTTTTATTTATCATAGATACAAAATTATATTCACTAAGAGAGTTTAGATATGTATTGACAATGTCGTTATTTAAATTTAGTTTTATGTTAATGAAAATGAATAAAAAAGAATAATGATTGTACATTGATACATGTGTGGATTTTTCCAAAGCCTACTTTAAAAACATTTTTTGTGTATCACCCTTATTTATCCACTGAAAAGAACTGCATTTTATTACGTACAAAATTTCACCATTTTCCAGTAAATCTTGCGTTTATAAACATGCATACAAATTAGCCGTGGTATTTTAGATGAGCTTATTTGTTAGATCACATAGTTTTAGCAAGCTGACTGTATAAAATATTCATAAAATATTAAGTGTGGTGGCGCTGCAGTTCATGAAATATGTGCCAAACTTCTTTACGACTGAAACGGATTATTTTTCATGACGCTGCACGATGCACCGTTTACACAATGTGTTTGGACGATAAAAAACACAGTTATGTTAAGGACACGTTCCTGAAAGTTTTTAAACTCTACACATGCCTAACACGTGCGTCCAATTATTAATTAACAGAACATTCTCTATCAGTGTCGGTATCGTTCAGGTAATGGGCCCAACAAATGTAAAGAAACCTTCGAAAAAAAAAAAACCATCAGTGTACAAAGAGGACTTTAAAAAAAAATTGATAAGTGGGCCCTTCTCGATTGGTAAGGCACAATCTGTAAATAAGTGGGTAACAGTCCGATTTTCATGACCACATTTGCAATGTAATGATGGAATGACTAAGATCACCTGCCATATTTGAATGGATTGTTATAGTTTAATATAAATTGAATAAATTTACTGTATAGGATTCGTTCAAAGTTTGGAAATATAGAAAGGAAATATAATAAATTAAAAATTGATTCCCGTATTTAGTAAATAAACTGTGATGCATTTCGCTGCCTAAAAAAAGTAAGTAATTTACTCAACACTTTTTAAGTTTTATTTTTATATTTCCAAATGTTGCTTACAAAAACCAGTGGCGTAGCTGGTTGAGATATAAAGTGTTGTAATTTAGTTTGTAGTCGCAAAGATTGTTGCATTTTGTCGCTTGTCTGGTATTTAGAGAGTATATAATTTATTTTTTTTACTACTAACATGAGAAATCACCATTATTTACTCCATTCCTCTAATGAGAAGTATTATTTCTCTCCCTAGGTAAATAATGATAATAAAAAAAAACCTAGGTAAATAATGAAACTAAATTTCATTAGTTTCATTTTGTTAATTTGACAACTAAACTCCCAGACTACTTGATATTTTGAAATATTTGAAAAATAAGTAGGAAATAACTAAAGCTGGGTTTATTAAAATCTAATCAAATCAAATATGATAATATATATCAGTGTTAATAGTAAAAATATATATTAACTAGGAAATTCAACACCGGCTTTAAAAATTATTAATTAATAACAATAAATCCATGTCATTAAAATATCAAAAATGCAATGGGATATTTCCTAGAATCATACCAAAATTTGACACATGCCAAATTTTTACATAAATAACGCCAGTCTGATTAGAAACACGCTCCAGTCTGCTTGATATTTCGAAATATTTAACAAATTGTTAGGAAATTACTTATGTCAAAATTAAAATTGCTAATACATTAATGTTAGTAGTAAAAAAAATTCTATATATACCTCGGCTGAGAAAGCTATTATTTACCTCGCACATTATATCCCTCGGCGCTACGCGCCTCAGGATATAAAAGTGCTCGGTAAATAATAGCTCACTTCTCACCCTAGGTATATAATGTACTATTATATTGTATTGAATTTGTAGACAGTAAATATTAATCATTAACAATGGTACTTTGGAGGCTTTGATTATTTTTAAGAGACAATTTTTAGCATGTATTTTAAAGTGCACCCAGAATCTGTTGTCGTATATTTTGGTTTAAAAAAGTTAGTTTTTCAGATCAGGCAGATGTGAGACTGTTACTTATATGGAAGGTGAATAAAATAGGATCTAAAACTGTTGATTGTTGCAAACCTAATGTAAATACATTTCCACTGCCGTCTCCTACCTATCTATTAAATATTTAGTAAATAATAATAATTATTATTATTGCAATAAACAATTAACGTATTGACCAATACCTGCAATATAATATGACGGTTTGAGAGTTTTCAATCATTAGTAATTTCTCGCACTACTTTTGAGATGCGTTGTTTGTTGACAGAACTTGCCAGAAATCTAATGTATATTTTGCTTATTTTTTAAAAATATATCTGAAATTTGTCAACTTCTTTTTATAAATTCGTGTAACCATGGCTTTTCAAAATCTGAAGGAACATTGTTCGATTTTAAAATATTATTCATTAAGTGGCATACGTTGTTAAAAACATCTGTGTGATCTTCAGAACATATTGATTTTTTATTTTTTAAAGAATATATTAAGATTTCTGCCTTAGTTATTTTTTACATTATTAATATTTCCAAGATATTTCCAAGGATACATCTACAAAGAAAGTATTGAACTCATCTGATATTTCATAGTAAAAATATTCTTATTTCCTTTTTCGTCCAAAAAAAGTATTGATAACTTTCCAAAATTTATTTTAGTTTATTTGATTTTATATTAGTTGTATTTTACCAAAATAAATAAATACAATTTTTCATAAAAGATATCTTAAGTGACTTAAAGAATAAATTTTAGTCTATTTATATACATATAATCCAGATTTGCTATCGAGCATCCTAGACCGGTGCCTCCACCAGAATAGTAGTTCATTCATCGACGGGTCCAGCACATTCTGAATGATGATTCACTTCGACTGGCGGTGACCAAGGGCGTATGCTAAGGCTTTCGTAGGTTGCCTTATTTGATAGAATATTCTTGGTAACGACAAAAATGAAGGCCGTAAAAGATTCAAATAAGGCAGAGAGGGAATTAAGGAAGTAGAACGGGACCGGTTTGCCAATACTTTCGGTATAATTCGGTCCATTAAAATTTATGAGCCAGTTAAAAAGAGCTTAAGAATGTGATCAATTATGGAGTGTAGAGGTAAGGAGAACTATTTCCGTTTACAAAAGATGTCCCTTAAAATGTATGAAATTAAGATAACGTTACTGTACCAGAAGGACGTCGAAAGTTGTGACAGTCGGTAATTCAGATTACACAATCACACCAATGATATCTATAGTTTATATAGATTGCTTACCCATATGTAAATAGTTCAGTTTAAAGTACACTTTTTAATTGTTTTCCAATATCTTGTAAAGTTTTAGTTATTTAAGTTCTGTCAAAGTTTATCAGGCTACTAGACCGGCTGTTACGAGTTATATATAACATGGAAAATTAGTAAATTAATATTACGTAGACTAAACGATAATTTAAAAAGAGAATTTAAGCTGAAAATAATGGTATATGCTTAACATTTAAAGTAATAATTGTTTTTGATAGTCAAATTATTCGGAAGATTTTTTTGTCCAATCAAATTGTAAAATGGACCACTTGAGACGCTACGTTATTTTGCGTTCTTACACGTTTCTGAAAACATGGCTATTTGAGACGCTTTATGAACCATATATTCTCCATTTTATGCACCAACAGTAACTTTTGCATATAAAGGTAAGTTGGTAAACCCGGATTGAAGTTCTAACAATTTACGTCTCAATATTATATTCATTTCTTTTAAAATAATTTACCCCGTTTTTTACATGGTGGATGATTAAAAGCAATTTTATGATATTAAAATCAAACTAAACATGAATCTGATTCTATATAAGAATCTGATTATATACAAGAAACTGATTCTAAACAAGAATCTGATTCTAAACAAGAATCTGATTCTAAACAAGAATCTGATTCTAAACAAGAATCTGATTCTAAACAAGAATCTGATTCTGAACAAAAATCTGATTCTATACAAGAATATGATTCTAAACAAGAATCTGATTCTAAACAGAAATCTGATTCTATACAAGAATTTGATTCTATACAAGAATCTGATTCTGTAAAAGAATCTGATTCTATACAAGAATCTGATTCTAAACAAGAATCTGATTCTATACAAGAATCTGATTCTATACAAGAATCTGATTCTGTACAAGAATCTGATTCTGTACAAGAATCTGATTCTATACAAGAATCTGATTCTATACAAGAATCTGATTCTATACAAGAATCTGAGTCTATACAAAAATCTGATTCATTACAAAAATCTGATTCTATACAAGAATCTGATTCTATATAAGAATCTAATTCTAATTCTATACAAAAATCTGATTCTATACAAGAATCTGATTCTATACAAGAATCTGATTCTATACAAGAATCTGATTCTATACAAGAATCTGATTCTATACAAGAATCTGATTCTATACAAGAATCTGATTCTGTACAAGAATCTGAATCTATACAAGAATCTGATTCTATACAAGAATCTGATTCTTAACAAGAATCTGATTCTTTACAAGAATCTGATTCTTTACAAGAATCTGATTCTTTACAAGAATCTGATTCTTTACAAGAATCTGATTCTATACAAAAGTCTGATTCTATACAAGAATAATAGAAAATTACGTAGCAAGAGTTATAAGTGATCTATTACGCACGAGTGCGTAACTTGTTTTATGTGCTATACTTTTTCTACGGCCACTATTTTAAATGAAATAAAAGATATTATTTTTTATTCGGTTTACAATTAAAAAGAAATTTTATGAGCGAGTTTCTAAAAATAAGCATTTTCGGAAAAGGATTTAACATTATTTTTATAACGCCAATCCATAAATTTTATTTGTGTATTTTATTTTATACCTTTTGTTGAAAATTACTGACAGTAGATTATTTGTTGTAGGTTGGGCTTTTAAAATCTCTGGTTGAATATTCATTATTTCACCTGCCCACATATTGATTAAATTGTTAACAAATATAATTGACAGAAAAAATAAATTTTGTCGTCCAACAATGTTATGTGATTATTTTCCATAGCCTTTTACAAATTAGTGATTTTAAAATAAAAACTACATTTTGTATAATTTATTGCCTGCCTTTTGGAACATCATGCGCTTTAATTTATAATTTTTGCATATTTTTTATATAGAAACCTTTAATTTTCTCTTTGAGCGATTGTATCAAATAAACCAGTTAATAAGAGATTAAAATACGAGACTTTATCATTAATAAATATCCTGCATATGAAAGATTTCTTCAGAAAATTTTGTAACTCCTGTAAATCCGCATGCAATAAAGGTAAACCATTTTCAACATGAATTCAAAATTAATGTGTGGGCTGGAATAATTGGTAATTTCATTGTTGGTCCTGTCATACTTCCATGAAGATTAACTGGAGAAAATTATTTGGATTTTCTACAAAATACTTTGCCAGAATTGTTAGAAGATTTACCTCTCCAACTTCGGAGAGATATGTGGTTTATTCAAGATGGAGCTCCACCACATTTTTCTTTAAACGTTAGAAACCACTTGAATGAACAATATCCACACAAATGGATAGGCAGAGGTAATGACGCACCTGTAAACTGGCCACCACGTTCCCCAGACCTAACACCGATGGATTACTTTTTATGGGGACATCTGAAATCCACAGTTTACAGGGAACCTGTAGAAAATGAGGAACAACGTATTCAAGATGCAATAAACAATCTTAGAGGTGATGAAGAAGTTAGGGAAAGGATACATTTTAATTTTCTTCGACGTATAAATCTTCGTATGCGTGAAAATGGTGAACATTTTGAACAATTTTTGTAAAATCTCTATTTTGATTATGTTGTAAATAAATATTTTTGTGAAACCTATACACTCTAAATTATTAAAACAGAAATTTAGCGAAAACCATGAGAGTAATCGAGTCTTATCAAGAGTACCTTTTTTAAAGTAAATGAGTTGCGCAATCTAAATTTCATACTCAAACTTCTTTTCTTCCATTGGCGTAGAATTTTTAAAAGTGCAATTATTTAAAAAATCAAGTTCTACGCCTATGTATTATTATCGGACAAAATTTTAATACCATTTTTTGCCACATAAAACTCTACCAATATACCAAATTTCAGCAAAATCGCATATGCCGTTTTAAATTTATATGGGAAAAACGATTTAAAAAATTGTAACTTCAAGGCCCTCTGGAGCCCAAACAAAGCAACTTTGTACTAAGGTAATTTTACTTAAATCGACTTATTTTGGTCTAAGGAATATGTGGTATGTTTTTGTAAAGACCTTTTACAGATACCCTGTATAATATACAATAAACAAGTTGGTGAACTGATGATAAATATATTTCCTTATTACCGTGACTGTAAGATGTATATTTATTTGAGATTAATATAATGTCAATGAGGCTTTCAGTAGTTGCTGTTATTCTTGTAGGTTTATTTATGACTTATGCATATTAAATAAATCTGTGCAATTATTAAATTTTAATACATCATAATTACAAGTACTATCTAAAAAATCAATGTATAAATATCGGCTAAAGTTTCCTGAAAATCTATTAATAAACTACTTACACTTTTATCTGGAGGTCAGTATAGATTTCCAAAAGCAAATTTACGATTATCTTCTTTAAAACTTATCCACAATTGTTCAATAGAATCCCTATAATTTAAATGTAAAACAGTGTGCATATTAGCTCTAATGTATCGATGCCTGACTGACAGAAAAGTGTACCTAATCAAAATGGTGACTTAAAGTCGAACTTTGTTTTATTTGAATTCAATAATTTTATATTTAAAAATATTTTTATATCATTTAAATGAAGCTATTTAAAAAAAATGACATTTATTCTCACCAAAACTGACTAGCTGCACTAGAACGAGTTTGAGACATAACGTAAAAATGTAATACAAAGATGCGGACACTTTAGTATCGTCATAGCATCTTCTCTTTATTCTATATCAATGGATTTACCACTTCATGTTGTTTCTTTTTTTTTAATTATGATTTGTTCGGGTTTCTTTAAAACTTGATGTAAACGGTCCGAAAATCAGTGGAACAGCTAAACTCCAAATTATTCGTCGTTTACAACTATTAAACTGTCCACTGGTCAACTAGTCCTCTGATAGTTCTCAATGTATTTTTGAAGAATCCGAACAGACCTGGAGTATCACTGAACTAGTTCTAAGCAATCAAAAGTATGCAAAACTATGTACATTTGAACATTCATAGTTCTGCATACTTTTGTCAATAAGTTTATTAAGTGAAACATGTAGAGGTTATTTAAAATCAGTTTTTTTTAGAATGCCGAAAATTATTCTGCTTATTTTGAAACTCTCAATACACATAAAAATAAAATTTCGGGTTTGGGAAATATTCCTTGTCTAAAACTAGTTTTTTCGGCTTAGAGTATTGAGTGTAATTTATATAAAATATATACAATATAAATAATAATAATAATAATAATAATAATAATAATGTTTATTTTGCAAAAAAGTACATTCATTTATCAATAATATAGTATGGTAATTAGACAAATATAAACAAAAGGTAGACAAGCCCATTAGAGCCACTACTGGCTGTGCAAGGGCATTTATAGTTTATTAAAATAATCGATTTAATTTATTTTAACTAGAGTGTAGCAGCTTATACGTATATTATAAGTATATTATAAAGTCCTATTATCTAAATAATTAAATATAGAAATTAAGATATCAATAACAAAAACAAAACAATTATTAAAATATTAATTAAAAAAAAAAACAGTTTAAATATAAAGAAAATACAATTAAAATATCAATAAAATCAATTTTAACAAGAACACAATTTTGGTTTTAAGCACAATAAGTAAACTTTAAAATTTCAAATAAATTATAAAAAAGAAATGAAAAACCAATAGGTAAAACAAGAAGAAATATTAAAACATTTTTTTTTGGGGCAATGCTCGATACCAATACTTAACTTTATGATAAATTGTTACTCATCATTTGTGATATTAGATCATACTGCAAACAATAATTCTATTGATTTAGTATCATAATGAATAAAAAAATTTTTAAATATAGATTTAATTAGACCTATCGAGTTTAATGTGCATATGTATGTTTTATACATTTCAGGTAGGAAGTTATAAATCTTTAGAGACATATGTAGATGTGAACGCTGACCTATGGTTTTTTTAAATAAGGGTATTTGGATACACCCTTTTTCCTTGTTTTTTGTTAAGTACTTGTGTTCAAGTCCTTTTATTAAATGTTTATTTTTATAAAGAAAAACCACGGAGTTATAAGCACACAGTTTTCGTAGGTTTAAAACTCTTGCTTCTTGAAACAGTACTTCCGTCGGAAAAATATTTTTTTTGCCGTAAATAATTTTCAATATCTTTCTTTGAAGAATATTGACTGGATTTAAATATGTTTTCGCAGCAGCACCCCAACCTAGAATACCATACTGTATTCTGGACTCTACTAGTGCATGATATACCATCTTTAGGTGACTTATGTTTAGGATATTTTTCAAGTATCTAAATTTATATAGTAGACTTCGTAATATTCTAGAGACATTTTTAAAATGCATATTCCACCTTAAGTGCGAGTCAATTGTAATACCTAGGTACTTGAGGCCACTTGAGCGACTTAACACAGTGTCATCTGATATTGTTAATATTTCATATTCAGGTAGACTATTTATATAGCTGCTAAAGGGTATGAAAAATGTTTTTTCAAAATTTATGGTAAGTATCTTACTTTGAAACCATTTTATAATTATTTTTAGGTCTAGCTCAGCTTTATTTTTCAGATTTTCCCACGAGTCTGCTGAATAGAATATGGCGGTATCGTCAGCGAAGCTAATTATTTTTCCCGTTGTTTGTAGGGTAAACAGATTATTAATATAGATCGAGAATAATAGCGGCCCAAGAATTGTACCTTGTGGAACTCCAAATTGTAAGTTTTTTTCCCTACTAATGGTATTCCCGATTTTAACTATTTGCTTCCGTTCATTTAAATAATTTCTGAATAGGTCTAGCGTTATACCACGAATACCAATGTTCTCCAATGCTTCTAGTAATTTTCCATGATGGACGGTATCGAAAGCTTTTGCTAGGTCTAAAAATACACACAAGCTAGGTTTACTAGCATCAAGGCATTTATATATTTCACTAAATAGGGTTGACGTTGCATCTGTAGTAGAAACATTTTCTTTGAAACCAAACTGAGATTTAGAAATAATATCATTTTTATTTAAGTATTTATTTAATCTAGATTTTAGACATTTTTCGAAAACTTTAGTAGGGCCACTAATAACGGATATTGGACGGTAGTTACTAACGTCCTTTTTATTACCTTTTTTAAAAATAGGTGTAACTACAGCCTTTTTAAACTCATTAGGGCAATGACCGCTTGTAAATATGTTGTTTATCAAAAAACATATTGGTTCAGCAATATTCTCTACAATAGCTTTTAGGGTTTCGGACCTAATTTGG